ACAAAATTTTAATCAGTAAGGGAATCATAGGTATGACAAAAAGGCAGGAAAATGGAGTCAGGGATTATTAGATCAGCCATTATCTCAATGAATAGCAGAACTGGCTCGATGGGCTAAAAAGCCAACTTTTATAAAATCTATAAAATTGTTTCAGGTCTTAACAGGTTAGGTACCGAGAAAATTTCCTCCAGCTTGAGATTATAGAAACAGGAGTTACAGACACAGGATAGGAGATCAACCATTTAGGACAAAGACGAAGAGAAATTTCTCTACTCAGGGTTGTGATTTTCTGCAAAGAATGACCTTCTTTGAAGGTAATATCCAATCTTCAAACGAGCGGTGGTACCATACCACCTCAGCAAGAGTAGGAAATCAGAGGGATCTGATTGTCACATTTGGTTGTACATGTTGGCCATTGTGGGGAGGCCTCAGGAATCAGTTTCACAGATTTGCCTTGGGAACAGCAATCAGAGGGGAGGTGTCAATCAGAAGGGTCTTTGGTGTAGTCATCAGGTGGGCATCTCTACAGAACTAATTTCAGGGAGTTATGAGAGAACTACTAAGCAATTGGCAGAATGTTGGTAGTTACATCTTATATAGCCACTTATAGTGAATTATTGAATTTATTAATTATTGTTGGTTTCGAAGGAAATCTTGCATTATGATAGTTATTGGTGTAATTTCAGTGATTCACTATTAGTTACTAGTGGAATCAAAGTAACTTTAACTCCTTCTTGCTAATAACTCCTCTACCCTGGGTTTTCTCATTCAATTTCCAAGTTCTCAAAATTTCTCATGCTTCAGCAGCTGGTGCAAAACCACAAGTAAATAACTCATTTTCAGGGGACACACCCTTATAAAAGACAATTTCAGTGTCATGCAGCCAACCACCACATGATCAAGTGTCATATGGACAGATGCTGTAGTTCGTATATCATGCGGTCACACCTCAATGACTGCATCCGACCATATCTGGCAACCCAATAAGGTAGTCAACAGGTTCATACATATAGTACTCATCAATCTATTACGCTATTGGCAGAGATGTTGACAGCAACAACCAATCACGTTCACAAAGGAAGAAATAAGAAAAATACAGAGGACAAACCATCCCCAGTTAACGATTATGTTTTGCAATGGAAATGATGTGAGATGTATGTTACAGAGATGAGGGGAAAATGTAAAAGTTAAATTATTAGCAATTAATTGTGCACTTTTAATGTTACGTTTAGGCAAGCAAAAAAACAATGTCAGCATTTAAGTTGTTTCTCAATCAAGTGGAAGACTATTTCACCACACACTGATTCTGCATCATATAAACCATTAAAACTCATGCTAAAGACAATTATAAAAAATGTCATCAGACGTAATCATGAAAAGCATTTGGCATTTATCAACGATACAGATCAAAATAGAAAGTTCTAGTTATTACAAACTTTGCCATATCATAGGACTCAAAATGTGCAGCATGATTGTGTGAAGACCATGGAAAACATGCAGAATATATACAATTTATTTAACAGGATTCATTACCAAAATTGAAATAGAGGCCTAATTTACTCTTCATTTTGGTTCTTTAACTTTGTTTTATTTGCATATATGGCCCCGTTTTACTGTGTTTTTCTTCCCTCCCTACAAAGAAGGCATAAGCAGTGCACACAACTTTACTTAAACATAATTACACGTTGATTCAGTAGTGATGAAAGAATGAAAAGCGACATGCACTTCAAGGTTATAAGTCGTCTCTTCACACAAGTTCAATGTTTTTCATATTAATAACTTTCTATCTCTCTCTTTTCTTGCTAATAACCCTTTTCACATTGAGAAAGCTCCCAAGTGCAAACATATGTCAACTATAAGTCGAGACTGTGTTTGAATACACCAGTTACTTACAAAACCACTTACTTGCTCAGAGGAACAGAGGAAAGAAAAGAAATCACAGTGGGCAGAGTAAAGTGAGGTGAGAAAAATAAATAACTCATAGATTAGATTTCAGAAGCAGCGACAGAAGACACATTGCTTAAATTTGCAGAAAAGTGCTGCAGGTAGACACAAAAGTTCACATTCACCCAATCTTTAAAAGTTCTGCATCAGCCAAAATCTGGTATGGATCTTTTAACAATTGATGCATTCATGGTTGGTTCTAAATTTTTTATTTATTTATTCACACAATGAGGGTGTCATTGTCTAGGCAGCATTTACTGTCAATCCCTAATTGCCCAGACAGCAGTTAAGAGTCAACCGCATTGCTGTGGGTCGGAGTCACGTGTAGGCCAGACCAGGTAAGGATTGCAGTTTCCTTTCCTAAAGGAAATTAGTGAACCAGATGGGTTTTTCCAACAATCGACAATGGATTCACAGTCATCATTAGATTCTTAATTCCAGATGTTTATTGAATTCAAATTCCATGATCAGTGTGGTGGGGTTGAAACCCAGGTCCCAGAACATTATCTGGGTCTCTGGATTAACAGTCCAGCAATAATACCACTAGGCCATCGCCTCTCCATTTTGAAGTGTCTTTTGTAAAATAGTTCTGTTAACTTATAGGTCATACATTAAACAGGTTGTTGCCATAACATTCATTCAGTTACTGATTCCTTGAGTATCTAATGACTGGAAGTCTGTTATAAATGTAGTTAAAATTTTGTTACATGTATAAATCAACGTTCAGGAGAGAGACATCAACTCAGATGAAAGGGATCAAATTTCCTCCAGTAACTTTTAGGGTACTAAGTGAAATGGGTTTAGGTGGTTGAGTCCTACCCAGATTTGTAAATAAAAGTCATTGTTGAACAGTATCTCCTCATTACAAAATGCTGCCACAATTTGCACCACTGACAAAAAGACATATTAGTTGCTTCCAGAGTTCAAGGCATGCTGGATTCACCACATAAATGCAGTGGCTACAAAAGCAGGTCAGAGGCTAGGAATACTGTGGTGAGTAATTCACCTCCTGATTCCTCAACGCCTGTCCAGCAACTACAAGGCACAAATCAGGAGTGTGCTGGAATACTCCCCACTTGCCTGGATGAGTGCAGCCCCAATAACATTCAGGAAGCTCAACACCATCCAGGGCAAAGCAGCACGCTTGATTGACACTGCATCCATTTCCTCCATCACCAACGCTCAGTAGCAGCAGTGTGCATTATCTACAAGATGCAGTGCAGAAATTCACCAAAGATCCTTGGACAGCACCTACTAAACCCACGACCACTTCCATCTAAGAAGAACAAGGGCAACAGATATATGGGTACACTACCACCTTCAAATTCCTCTCCAAGCCACTCACTCTCCTGATTTGGAAATACATCACCATTCCTTCAGTGTCACCAGGTCAAAATTCTGGTATTCCCTCCCTAATGGCATTGTGGGTCAAACCACAGCAAGTGGACTGCGGCAGTTCAGGAAGGCAGCTCACCAGCACCTTCTCAAGGGCAACTGGGGATGGGCAATAAATGTTGGCCAGCCAGCGAGGTCCACATCGCACAAAAAAAACTATTTGAGGCGACTGCTTGTGACAGTGCTGTAGCAGAATGTCTTTCCTCTGAACATTCCTGTCCACAACATTATGACTGACATGGAAACTCAGAAGTGTTTGCTTTGGATAATCTTCAAAAATTTTAAACTACACATAAACTGGAAACATTAGATGGACAAAAGTACTCTAGGTAAGAAAGTTTTCAGGATCAACCAGAAACAGGCTATACTCTGACTGGTATTGTGCAAAGAGATAGAATTAATGACCTGATTAGTGAGGGCACCCCACCAAGGTATCAGTGATCATAACATAATCGAATTTCACATTCTTTTGAGGGAGGGACCATAAGCATTTTAAACTTAAATAAAGGAAATTAAAAAAAGCATAAAAGCAGAGACAGCTGAAGTAATTGGCAAATTAAGTTAAGCATAGGTGAACAGAGATGCAATGGCAGACATTTACAGGAATATTTCAGATATTTGCAACTACAAAATTTCAACGAGACAGAAAAATTCTATGGGAACGGCCCACCATCTATGGTTAACAAAAGAAAATTAAAGATAATATAAAACTTAAAGAGAAAGCATACAATTGCATAAAGATGGGTATACAGTCAGGAGACTGGATAGAATATATTTTAAAAAATGAATAAACAAAAGGTTAATGTGAGTGTGAGAGAACTTTGACTAGAAATAAGAGCAATTAAGAGATTCCATGGATATTTTAAAAGAGAGTTAACAAAATGAAGTTCTGAGGAAGGGTCACCAGACCCGAAACGTTAACTCTGATTTCTCTTCACAGATGCTGTCAGACCTGCTGAGCTTTTTCAGCAACTTCTGTTTTTGTAACACAATGAATGGTGGTCCTTGAACTTCAAAATAGGGGATTACCCTTTTAAGGCAGAGATCAGGAGAAGTGTTTTCTCTTGGGAGGGCCATGCACCTTTAGAACTCTTTCTCAAAAGGCAGCAGAAGCAAGGTAATTGAATATTTTTGAGACAGAGATAGAATAATTCTTCATAAGCAGGAGTGTGAAAGGTTATCAGAGATTGGTGGATACATGGAGTGATCAAATTATCCATGATCTTATCAAATGGTGCAGCAGACTGATGAGCCAGGTGGCCTACTCCTGCTCCTATTTATATGAACATATGTTCACACATATGGATTGCTCATCCAGATCACAACCATGACTAAATTAATGAGCAACTTCGGAGTCTAAAAGATTTAAAGAGTTTTCTTCAAATTTGGGCAAGGTCTACCATAACAAGTTAACATCATTGTAGTGAATCTCTAAATGGCTTATTGAGATGACAAGCTCAAGCATGCAATTCAGTAGCAACAGCAATCCAACCACTTGTAAAGTTACACTTTTACCACACAATTAAGGTTACCGCTCTTAGCATGTAAATAACATCAGTAAGCAGAATAAGAAGCTGAGAAATGTAGGAAGGCAAAACTTCAAATGGAACTTAAACTAACATATATTCTTGGAAAATTTGATGACCATAAAAGATCCTTACTTTAGAAGCCAGTCGTGAGAATTTTTCATTGTGATCCTCTGCAGAAGTCATCTTTTCTTGTCTGACCAAGTCTTGTAGACTTAAATTGTCATCATCCTGGAAGTACCTAATCCTTTCTCCTTCATGGTGAGTTTCAATCTGAAACAACGACAATTATGTTTTTGTGGTACATAACATAATTATAAAGTAAAATTTCTAAAACCCCATTGACCTTAGAAAATATTTTATGACCTTATGTATATTTTAGCATTATAATCCTGCAAGTTTCATGTGTGGAATAAATCAAGGGTCAACAACAAACAAAAAACATAAATCTTATTCGATAATTGTACTTTTAAAACCAGGCTAATTATAACATCAAGAACCACTAACATTCCTAATTACAATGGGCTAAGTGCCCCTTTCCTGTGCTGAGAATATCTATGACTCTATAATGGTAATATTCTTTCACTGAATGCACTAACTTCCATATGATTTCAAGATATACATGCTATAGCACTTATGCACAAAGAGCCTCAATTTTTCTACTCAGAGTGAGAGAAAGCATTAATATATATTTTATGATTGAAGTCAAATGGTCAGGGCTCTGAATGCAGACCTGGTCTTCTCGTGAACACCAGCCTGAAGATTCCTCCTCAATCACAATTTCCACATTCTAAGATTCCTCCATGGTGCTCTTTCACGTACTGGTTTCAATTTTGCTGTATGCAAATAATTTAACATTAATTTACTCTGTAATTCATGTATCTGTTAGTTCTCTCTCCTTCTGCTTTATCCCCTTCAATTTTTGCAGTCTTACTAAAATTTTTATTAAAATACTGTTTCTCTTTTATACCTTAGTTTATTTAAAGACATACAAACCAAAATTATAACCTAACTCTACTCTTCACCATATTGACTTGGAATTTTAATCTTTGTTTCAGGATATCTAGCATTTATGGGTTTTTTGCTTCCTTATTTTAAACTCTTTGCGAAAAAATATTGTACTTTGTTAGACCTTGGGTATTTTTGCATAACGAGTAGCATCAATTGCAAAGCAGTCGTTGCTGTTCAATTTTGCATCTAGCTTTATAGGAATTTTGCTGTAATATGCTTTAATATTGGCTGTTTCATTATTTAATTCATACGTTTTTATGTTTTAGCTGCCAGATCACTATAGCTTTTCACTGAACAACTGCTTTAAATGTACATTCCTAATTATAACTATTTCACCTTTGTTGGCAGCAAACTCAAGCTGTCTAGCCCAAAGCTCTGAAATGCCACCATGACACCTCTCTGCTTCTCTACCTCACTTTCAAGATATCGCTTAATAGCTACTACTCTCACCGCTCCTTCTGTGACTCAGGACCATACTTTGTTTTACAACGTTCCTGTGAAGCATCCTGGGACATTTCGTTACACTCAACACACTATACAAATGCAAGTAGTTATGATTTCTCATGTAAATGTAAATATACCACCAGCAAATGGTGATGCTGCCATTGCTCAGCTTTGTACCTTTCACCTGCTTTGTGTAATGTGCAGAAAAAAAACATTATGCTGCAACTAGCTGTGCTCTGTTTTCCAAATAACTATACATTTTTCATTACTTGTCTGCAATAACACAATGGATTAAAGAGTACGTTATAAACTTTTTGTTCAAATCTAAAGGGTATTTCACAGTGATCATTCCATTTGGCATCTATAACCCTATGCTAGAAAACAAGATAAAGTTGCAGTTGACAAAACTCCACTTGCCATTTATTCTAAAGAGATGTCGAATTCATGAAAAAGGTTTGCTGTCACCAGCAAGTGAATTCTAAGCATCATATCACAGTATTTTGCAGCATACAAAGCATTTATAGACTGATAGATTATAAATATTTATAACAGTGGAATTATTTTATTATATATGGCACCAAAGCTCAACCTTCCCTCTCCAAGTTCAAGAAATTCAAGGAAACTGAATGAATGTGACTAAATGCATTTTAATACTACTCCATCAAGCAAGTATCAAAAATTTGCAGCATACAAATGTGCTTCACCTTAATCTTTCGAAATCTTCACTGAACAGTGGCTGGATTTGATCCATTTTTTAAAAAAAGGAACACAAAGTTGTTCTGAAATTGATTAAGTATAATTTTGACATTTCTGCTAGAAACAAATCAAGTTCTTGGAAGTAGTTACCTGTTTTAACTTAGATCATGACTATTGATCAAATTCATTGTTGTAAAAAAAAATTACCATTTGCCTTTTCTTCTTTCCTCTCTTTTGCCTCACAGATTCTGCAGAAGCACCAACTGGCCACACTCTCCCTGATTCATCAGATCGAACAAGAATCACTTCCTGATTTTCATCTGCAGCCTAGATTAGTTAAATAAAGACAGTTTCTTAGTTCAATATTTATATTTATTACAAAAACTGCTAAGGGCGCAGCAGTAATAAATTGGTAATGTCACTGGAAGAGTAATCTAGAGACACAGGTTAATGCTCTAAGGGTCATGGGTTCAATTCCCTCATGGCAGCTAGAGGAGCTTAAATACAATTTATAAAACCAGAATTAAAGAGTTAGCCTCAGTAATGGTGACCATGAAACCATTGCTAGTTGCTGTAATAACAACATCTGATTCATTAACGCCTTTTAGGAAAAATCAAACTCCATACCTGGTCTGGCCTACGCATGATTCCAGACCCACAGCAAAGTGACTGACTCTTAAACACGCTCTGAACTGGCCTAGCAAGCGACTCAGATGCATCAAAGCTGCTAGAAAAATGAAACTGCACGGACACGAGCATCAACTTAGATACCACAAACAACAACAGCATACCCAATCCTATTTACCCTGCATAGACACTTGTATTATAATCTGGATGCCTGTGCCAAAATTGGATGAGCTGTCACATAGATTTGATGCACTTTCTCTAGTTGACTCTTGAACAAATTGCTCTGGAAAACCTCATTAAAATTCCAGAACCTCATCCTCTATAGGTTCAGTGCTCGATTGATTTATCTAGTCTATATGTAGACTGAACTCACGCATGATAACTGAGTTGCCCATGCTAAGTACTTCTGTCATCTCTTGACTAATGGTATGACCCCACACTACCACCACTATTTGGTGACCCATAAACATCGGTATGTTTCCCCGCCTAGTTTTTAAACTCTGGGGTCCGGTGCAAAACAACAAACCAGCTCAGCGAGCCAACCAACCTCAACAACCACAATCCGAGCTACAGATCTACTCCAAAACCTTAGAGACCTATATACACCTCCAACTAATCCTGCTGTCCTCTGCCATTTCCTAGTCCCACCTAAACAGACTTCAGACATTGTTTTTCTGATTTGAAATATCCTATTAATAACGTACTGATCCCATCCCTTATTATGAATGCAACTCCATCTCCTTTTCCTTCTTATCTGTTCTTCCTAAACATCTGGTAATCAACCATTCCCTCTGTATGCCTCTAAATCTGTGGAGTGACCACCTCCTTCTACATGCTATCCACACAGTCCTCTACATCACAGATGCTCAAGTTCTGAAATGTGTAACTGAAGCTTGTGCAGCTGCTGACACCTCCTACAGATATCTTTGTCTGGGACACAGGGCATGTCCGTGACTTCACACATAACACAGGATGTACATTCCACTTGGCCCCTCTGACCTGCCATCTCATAACTCTTAAAACTATTTGTAACACCTGGAATAAGTACGGGGTTACTGTGAAAACTCTACAAGACATTTCTCAGAAAGAGATAAAAAAAGTGGTGCAACTTAAAAACAAAGTAAACATTAACGAAACATACTCACCAATCAGCTACTTTCTCTGCATTCACTATGTTATGCCATTATCAGTCTCAGCACAAGTAGGCCTCTCAACCCATGCTTTATTTGTCTCCTACTCACTTCTCACTCTGCAGACCTTATTTCTTGGAGTAAACTTTAATCAAAACATCTTTCTTCCTCTAACTCCAATTTCTATTCTTACCCAATTTTTTTTTTTATTTTATTCACTCATGTGACGTGGGCATTAACTGGCTGGCCAGCATTTATGCCTGTCCCTAGTTGTCATTGAAAAGGTGGTGCCAAGTTGCCTTCTTGAACTGTTGCAGTCAAAATGCTGTAGATGATCCATTAGGGAGGAAATTCCAGGATTTTGATCCAATGACAGCGAAGGAACACAGATATATTCCTAAATCAGGATGGTGAATGGCTTGGAAGGGAACTTGCAACAGGGGGTGTTCCCAAGTATTCTAGTTACACACTCCATCTCAGTTGCACTCTGACGAAGTCTCCCTAACTGACTGTGCAATTTATTCTGATAATGTGCTTTGAACAAGCTCTTCTTATATAGAAAGCTCTGATGAGTCACTTTTTTTAAACAATCTGTAGTAGGGTTTATTGCCCTACTCTTGCTCTGATGTGCTGATGTAAATCGTTTAACTAAACTATAAACAAAAGTTCAGTAAAATTCAAAGCACTTCAGATAGTTTTCAGGGGAACAGAAACTTCTGACGTCGAGCCTCACAGACGTCGAGTACTGATTTTACTCACATAACATTTCAAAGGATTAATTTATGATAACAAGATATTACAACTGTTCGTCAGTTTCTTCATGATAGATACACTGAGGATGTTGGATTTTTAAAAATTCACCATCAGTGCTGTCTTACCACATTGTCTATCCTCTTTGGTGCTGTCAAACTTGTTGGATGATTTTGTCCTTGATTATTCAACTTCCGAGCTTCCTCCAATTGATCCTTAAGTTTAGACGCAAGTTCCTTATTTACCAAAATTAAAAGTGTATTCATTAAAACACACAGTATATAAGACATTCCAAATGTTCAGATAGAATATAAACAAAATTTCTAAAATGTTAATAATTAAAATATCAGGAAAAACAATCATGAAGACTTTGTATTGATGCTATTGTTACTATATTACAATTTTACTAAATTTGCTTTCAAGTCACATTACAATGGATATCCATCAAAGAACAAATGAAAATGAACAAATGAACAAGTACAGCACAGGAACAAGCCCTTCAGCCCTCCAAGCCTGTGCCCTAATTAATCTAAAGCCAACCTGCTATTTTTCGATCCATATCCCTCTATTCCCTCCCTATTCATGTACCCATCCAGGTGCCTCTTAAATGTCTTCAATGTGCCTGCTTCAACCATCTCTTCTGGTAGTGCATTCCAGGCTGTCACCACTCTCTATGTGAAAAACTTCCCTCACACATCTCCCTTAAACTTTCCTCCTCTGACCTTGAACCTGTGCCCCCTTGTAATTGAAACTTCAACCCTGGGAAAAAGCCTCTGACTACCCACCTTATCTATGGCTCTCATAATTTTGTAGACCTCTATCAGGTCTCCTCTCAACTGCCGTCTTTCCAGTGAAAAAAATCCCAGTCTTTTTAACCTTTCCTCATAGTCAATGCCCTGGAGACCAGGCAACATCCTGGTGAACCTTCTCTGTACTCTCTCCAAAGCTTCCACGTCCTTCTGGTAGTGTGGTGACCAAAACTGCTCACAATACTCCAAATGCAGCCTAACAAGGGTTTTATATTGCTGCAACATGTTTTGCCAACTCTTGTACTCCATGCCCCGGGCGATGAAGGCAAGCATGCCATATGCCTTCTTAATCACCTTGGCTACCTGTGTTGCCACTTTCAGGGAACTGTGGACCTGCACGCCCAGATCCGTCTGAATGTTAGTGTTCCTAAGGATTCTGCCATTTACAATATAATTCACACCGAAATTTGATCCTCTAAAATGCATCACCTCGCACTTGTCTGGATTAAACTCTATCTGCCATTTCTGTGCCCATGTTGCCAATCTATCTATAGCCTGTTGTATACTTTCACAATCGTTGGCACTATCAGCAAACTCCACAAATCTTCATGTCATCAGCAAACTTGCTTATCAGACCACCCACATTTTCTTCCAGATCATTTATATATACTACAAACAACAAAGCACCTAAGACTGCCCCCTGTGGAACACCACTAGTTACCAGTCTCCATTCTGAAAAACATTCCTCCACTGCTACCCTCTGTCTTCTATGACCAAGCCAGTTTTCTATCCATCTAGCCAGGCTATCCCGAACCCCTTGTTATTTTAGTTTTGATGTTCACAAATCATTAAACACTGATCCATGCTGGAAAGATCATACAATGTGGGCTTTTAATAAGAACAGATCCTCATTGAATGCATGGGATACATCCTCTCCACTGGTTGGAGTCTGTTAGAGCTCAAAACGGGATAAAAAAGGATGAAAGCTGGAACTGTGGAAGTCAAACAGGACAGCAGTGCAGGAGTTCCTCAGTCGATGTATTTTGGCCCAATCATCTCAGTTGTTCCAGATGGACTGCAGTTATTTAAGATGTGGTCCATGCCTACTGGTTGGTTAGCTCAGATGGTTGGAGTGTGGTGCTCATAATGCCAAGGTCATGGGTTCAATCCCTGTACTGACCAAACTTGCTAATTCCTGACTGAAGTTTTAGGACCCTCTTGTGGCACAGTGGTAGAATCCCTACCCCTGAACCAAGAAACCCAGGTTCAAGTCCCACCTGCTCCAGAGATAATGTAATAACATCTCTGAACAAGTTGATTAGAAACATAGGTCAATTACTTTTTATAAATTAAGGTGTGACTCATGAGCCCTCTTGTGACACAGTGCTAGTGTCCCAACCCCTGGACCGAGACACCCAGGTTCAAGTCACACCTGCTCCAAAGGCGTGCAATAATATCTCTGAACAGGTTGATTAGAAAAATAGGTTCAATTTTTTTTTAAAATTTAATACGCGAGTCATCACCAGTATGTCATATGGAATTAGGGATCTGAACAAATGCTGGATATACCATAAGACATATGAGCAGAAGTCGGCCATTCGGCCCATCAAGTTTGCTCTGCCATTCAATGGATCATGCTGATCTGATAATCTTCAACTCCACTTTCCTCCCTTTTCAACTTAATCCTCAATTCCCTTACAGATTAAAAATCTAACTCTCTGAGCCTCGAATACATTTAATGACCCAGTCTCAACAGCCCTCTGCGGTAAAGGATTCCACAGATTCACTTCCCTCTGAGAAAAGAGATGCCTCCTCACTTCTGACTTAAAATGGTAAACCCGTGTTCTGGGATTATGCATGCTGGTCCTACAGTCTCCCAGAAGGGGAAATCAATTTTTTCACATCCACCACATCAAGTCCCCTAGGAATCTTGTATGTATCAATAAAATCACCTCTTATTCTTCTATAATCCAGTATGTACAGGCTCAACCTACTCAATCTCTCCTCATAAAACAGTCCCTCCATCTCTGGTATCAGCCTTTGGAACCTTTCCTGGACTGCCTCCAAGGCCAATATATTTTTCCTTAGATAAGGGACCCAAACTGTTTACAGTATTCTAGCTGTGGTTTGACTAATGCTTTGCATAGCTTTAACAAAGCCTCTCCCCTTTTATACTCCATTCCTTTTGAAATAAAGGCCAACATTCCATTTGCCTTCCCTATTACCCACTGAAATTGGATACTAGGTTTGAGTGATTCATACCAAATTTCTCCATGCTGTAGCTTTCTGCAGTCTTTCTCCATTTAGTTCGCGTTCAGCTCCTCTAATCTTCAAGCCAAAATGCATCACCTCACATTATATTTGATCTGTCTTATATCCCTCTACAGACTCTTTGTATCATCCTCACCAGTTGCCTTCTCACCTCTTTTTGTGTCATCTGAAAACTTGACTATAGTACTTTCAGTTTCTCATCCAAGTCACTAATATATAATGTGTATATAACTGCAGTCCCAACACTATCCTCTTTATCTTGACTTTGTTTTCTTTCTATTTATTCACAAAAATCTATTTCATACAATCAAAGAATGTAAAAGAAGGCCATTCTTCTGGTACAAACTAGTTTCAGGTTGCCAACCTGAAAATACTTCCAATATCCCAACTCTGTCGTCTATTAATTAGCTAATCCTCTATCCATGCTAATATACTACCTCAAAAACCAAGGACTCTTATGGAGTACTGTAAAGTGTGGCACCTCATCAACCTTCTTCTGAAAACCCAAATAAATCACATCCACTGCTTTCCTTTTATCAATTCTGTTTATTAACACCTCAAAAAGAATTCCAGTAACTATGTCAGGCACAATTTCCCCTTCATTAAACCATACTGATGCTGCTTGATTATATATATTTCTAAATGCTCTGCTATTATATTGTTTATAATAGACTAACATTTTCCCAATAATAGACATTAAGCTAATTGGTCTATGGATGCCTCTTTTTAAATAAAGAGGTTATATTGGCAGTCTTCCGATCCTCTGGGGTTTCTCCAGAATCTAAGGAGTCCCAGAAGATTATTATTAGTGCATCCACTATCTCCGTAATTACTTCCTTTTATTTCCTAGGATGCATCCCATCCAGTGGCATATCGGTCTTTAGCTTGTTTAGTTTCCATAGTTTCTCTATTGATAGTTATTATAGTATTTAATTCCCCTCCTCCATTTGCCCCTTATATTTAGTCATTTTAGAATGCTATTAGTGTGCTATTTATTGTGAAGACTGATGCAAGCTATTTCCTCATCTGCCATTTCCTGGTTCCCCATTATGATTTCCCCAGCCTCATGCAAACAACACTAATATTCAAGGTACAAATATAAACAAAAAAATCTGCAATACTGGTGGTATGCTCTCCATTCACAACTCTAAAATTTCTATCTCTATTGAATACAAAGATGGATACAGTACTGATTGACATCCAACTATCCACCCCGCCTTAATCTAAACAATACCCTTCATCTTGACTTTGTTTTCTTTCTGTTTATTTACAAAACTCTATTTAATCAAAGAATGCAAAAGAAGGCAATTCTTCCTATGCAAACTCTTTGAATGACCTGGCCCCAGTCTCCCAAACTTTACCCACAAAACATCCCAGATCATTATTCACTGTGAAAAAAAATCTCACCTTCCCTTTCGTATTTTTGTCAATTATCATACATCTGTGCTTGCTGGTGACAAATTGACCTGTCATTGCATGTAGTTTCTCCTTATTGCTCAATTGAAATACCTAATTATGATTAAATCATACTGCATTCTTTGAGGATCAGCTCGTAAACATGGAGGTACACAATTATGTCTAATTTCCAACTCTTTCTCCGTGGATCTGCAAAGTTTTCCTTTTAAAATAGAAGTTAAATTCTCTTTTGGAAATTATTACAATGTTTGTTGTTAACCGTCTTTGCTCCAAGGAGGGCATCTCAACTTTTTCAGTCTCTGCACAATAAGAGAGTCTCCAACAGGTGTTGTACAGAGTATCAGTCAGAATTTTGTTCAGCCAATCTCAGGCTGGTTTGAATAGATACAAAATTTACATGCATACCTGTGTCCTCCTGTGGTCTAAGTAGAGTTACAACAGTGCAACCCTGATGTAGACTCCAGTTCTTTCTTTCTTTCTTTCTTTCTGCAGATCTGCTTATTAACTCACTACTCTCCATCTGATGCTGTCTGTCTCTCTTTGTCTTTTGTATGCTTTAGTATTACTCTGTAATGTAGTCTCCTGGTTCCCACTCCTCTGATAAATTATATTAAAGCCATGCCAAAAACATGAGTGAAATGCTCCACACAGGACTCAGTCCTAGCTCTGTTGAGGGCAACCTGCCTGGTTTGTTCAGGTGCTATCATCATTGTCACCGTCGCCCTCCTCCTCCCCTTTTATGCCCTGTCCTCAAAAGTCCTTTGCTGAGCACCAACTGTTTACCATCAGCGGGCAGACGG